GCTGACTCCTGGAGGAGGAGCTGACTTCTGGAGGAGGAGCTGACTCCTTAAGGAGGAACTGACTTCTGGAGGAGGAGCTGACTCCTTAAGGAGGAACTGACTTCTGGAGGAGGAGCTGACTCCTGGAGGAGGAGCTGACTCCTGAAGGAGGAACTGACTCCTGGAGGAGGAGCTGACTCCTGGAGGAGGAGCTGACTCCTAAAGGAGGAGCTGACTCCTGGAGGAGGAGCTGACTCCTCATTCCTTCTTTTTGCCGGGTGTATCATGACCTTCTTCTTCTGTCCACTCACTGATTCCCTGCGTCTGTGAGGTCTGACATCATGGAGGCCCCAAAGCAGAGGAGCTTTGTGTTAAAGGTCATTTCCAGGTGGGGTCCTCTGGTCGGGGGCTATAGGAGGACCAGAACACCCCCCTGAACCACAGCACATCCTGCTCCTCAGGTCTCCTCTCCATCTCCTCTCTTGTTGTCTGCATGACGGGAGTTTGCTAACGGTGTCTGTGTTTCTGCGCCTCCACTGTACATACCACGCTGTGGGCGGGGCTTGGTTCCCGGGGTGAATTTCATGGTGCTTGTTGTTCGTGTTAAAAACAATTTTGAAGGTTTAAAGCAGAAGTTCTTTTTTTAAAAGGATGTAAATGTTTTCGCACAGAGTCTGTCTGTATTTCTTAAACATGAATGACTTTTAATCCACGGTGGCAGAATGCATCTTCGCTTCGTTCTGTTCTACTGAGGGAAGCTCAAAGGCGGAGCCTCTGAGACTCACTCATCAGGCCAGCTGTTTGGAAACAGCCCTGGGAGTTCCTCTAGATGACCTTGGTTCCCCACATCAACACCTTCCCTGATAGACCAGTTTAAGCTGAAGAGCATAAACCTCAGACTTCCTGTTATCTGCTGAAGATTAGACTCTCTCCAGGAAGTGACTCCAAACAAAGTCCTTCTTGGCAGAACTTGCTGCCGGTTCCACTGATTGGCCTTTAGAGTTTCTAACGACTTTATGAAGCAGAAAAACATTGAATGCTGGTAACCAGTGGATTTACTGGTCCATGATGAGGCCTCTTCTCTTCTTATCATAAAAGGAACCAATAAGGGGAGTTTAGGCAATTCCATTAGTTTGATCATGGTTTCAACCTGCAGGAAGTTCTTCCAACTCTCCGGGCTGTTCAACCTCCTCCCGCTGCCTCCCCCTAAAGCCTCCTCCAGGTGCCGGCCTGATGAGCGCGTATCCAGGGCTGCGTGGGCTCTGCTGTGGCCTTATGAGCAGCGCTCTGCTCCCTCCTCCTCCCCTCATCAAGTGTCTTGTTTGAAGCGGTGCAGTCGTGACACACGCTGATTGTAGTGAAGCAGAAAGCACACCGTGGGCTCAGACTGACGAGTCCTCTCCATCTGTCTGCCTTCTCTCTTGACCTGGCCGTGAGCGCTACCTGCTGGTGGAGAAGGAGATTCCTGGGAACGGAGGCATGAGGAGATCCTTCTCCACAGCCAAGGTCAAACTGAACCAGAGCAGGAAGTTCCTCTGCCCTTGAGGGACCCAGAACTTCACTGCTTGTTGCTGATTTGGTCCCAGATCTCTGAGCTCAGAGGAGCCGTCGGCTAAAAGCCGAACTGGAACAGCAGGGGAAAAGCTACAGCTTCCTGCCTCCTCCTGTTCAGCGAGCTAATGCTAGCTAGCTCAGTCAGGTTGCTCCAGCAGACATACCGCTGGAAGAACAAACAATAGCAGTTAGCAGAGAGAAGCAACAGGTGTAGGAGGGGCAGAGCTGTGTTACAGCCTGTAGGAGGCTAAAAGCAGGTAAGGTAAGGTGCTTCCTGCCTCAGAAGACCAGAGCTGCTGCCTCCCTGTGTTCAGCTCTGGATGAAGCTTCATCCTGGAACATCTGGGTTCTTCCTGTTTGAGGTGGATTTTCTCTGCTGAGTCATTCCAGTTCGTCTGTTTGAGGTGAGTCAGCAACCAGCAGCAGGTTCTGGGTCTCAGAGGCACAGAAACCTCCTCAGCATTCCATCCATCCTCAGACGTCCATATCATCAGGGAACCAGAGCCGCTCCAGCTTTCTGTTTCTGATTGTTTGAATGTCTCTGTCTCGCTCTCCTGCTGAGAGACTAAGGGACATCTGTTGGTTTTTGTGTCTTTGTCTTCTAAACTTTCACAGCGGAACGGAGGAGCGCTTCCTCCACGACTTCTGCTGAATGTTGTTCCATCCAGATGTTACAGAAATGTCCTGCTTTGCATTTCAAAGGGCAGCTCAGTGGAAAGATGAACTGATCTAGTAAAGATTTCAGACACTGATGGCAGAAGCTCATGCAGGGCAGAACTGGACCGAACCAGTCAGGAGGCAGAACTGGGCCGACCCGGTCAGGAGGTACGGTCCATGTTTGCTCTGGAAGCTGTGGTCCAACATTCAGCCAATCAGCTGTTTGAGAAGAGAGAAGCAGGATCAGATGGTTCCTGTAGCTCCTTCAAAGCAGCACGCTGTGACCTTTGACCTCAGGATTAGCTTCAGGCGACAGAAACAATCCTTCAGCTCGTGATGCTCCTCTGATGCTCCTGCTGTTTCCACATAGGTTCTAAAGAGGTTCTTTAGAAGTTCCACAGAGATCCTATAGATGTTCTTTAGAGGTTCCACAGAGGTTCAAAGGACGTTCTATAGAGGTTCTATAGTGGTTCCATTTTATTTGCTTTTATTGGTTCTGTTATGATCATGGGTGGTTCCTCTGATGTTCCTCTGACGTTCCTCTATGGTTCCTCTGTAGTTCCTTTATGGTTCCTCTGGGGTTCCACTGTAGGTCCTATCGAGTTCCTCTATGGTTCCTCTGGGGTTCCTCTTGTCATGATGGGTAAACAGAGGCAAGCCCAAGATGCAGAACACACACGGAGGAGGCAGGGAAAAAGTTCAAAATGTTTAATAAAAGTTCAGACACACATGGTAAAGCACTGGGACTGGAATGGGTCAGGGGCTGGTTCACTGGAATCTTGACTGGGACTGGAGACTGTGGGTTAGCAGAGTTCATGTGAGGCTAAGCATCTAGCTTCAGGCTTAGCAGAGCAGTACTAGATTTGGGCTTCCAGCTCACAGCAGAGATCAACAGGGGATTAGCACAAAGGGATCTTCTGGCTGAGCTTCCAGCTCTTAGCAGGTAACAACGGGGAAAATCCACATATGATTCTTCAAGCTGATTCCACGTAGGTACCTCCAGGGAAACTCCACATAGGAGTCTTAGGTTAAATCCACGTAGGAATCTTCGGGTTGGCTCACCAGGGCAGACAGCAGGTTAAGCTCACCTAGAGCTTCTGACTTGAGACATGTTTCCTGTGATGCAGCTCTCCCAGAGCTGCAGGCCAGAGACAGGAACCAGTGAGGCAGCTCTTCCAGGGCTTCACGAGGAGACAGGATTCCTGTGAGACAGAAACAGGGAAGATTTAGAATCTGATCTCACACTAGAGATAACCAAGATTCTTCCAGTAACAGGCTCAGGTTGCTAACCAACTAAGATCAACACTGCGGCGTTGAGACAAGGTCTGAAGTCAGCTTATATAGGAGAGGTCTTCTGATGAGAGGATTAGCAACAGGTGTGCAGGAAGGTTCCAGCTCCAGAAGACCCACGGCGCACTCTGCTGGAGACAGAGGGTAGTCTCCAGATCCCAACAGAACTCCAACCCTATGGGAAAAACACAGAGCAGAAGAGGATCCTCGACGCCCTCTGGAGGGCAAGCCTGAGGATCCTGACACCTCTATGGTTCCTCTGGAGTTTCTATATGGTTCCTATGGAGTTCCTCTATGGTTCCTCTGGGGTTCCACTGTAGTTCCTCTGGAGTTTCTCTATGGTTCCTCTGGAGTTCCTCTATGGTTCATCTGGTGTTTCTCNGTTCCTCTATGGTTCCTCTGGGGTTCCACTGTAGTTCCTCTGGAGTTTCTCTATGGTTCCTCTGGAGTTCCTCTATGGTTCATCTGGTGTTTCTCTGTGGTTCCTCTATGGTTCCTCTGGTGTTTCTCTGTGGTTCCTCTATGGTCCCTCTGGTGTTTCTCTGTGGTGCCTCTATTGTTCCTCTGGGGTTCCACTGTAGTACCTCTGGAGTTTCTCTATGATTCCTCTGTGGTTCCTCTAGGGTTTCTCTGTGGTGCCTCTATGGTTCTTCTGGGGTTCCACTGTAGTTCCTCTGAAGTTTCTCTATGGTCCCTCTGTGGTGCCTCTATGGTTCCTCTGGGGTTCCACTGTAGTTCCTCTGGAGTTTCTCTATGGTCCCTCTGTGGTGCCTCTATGGTTCCTCTGGGGTTCCACTGTAGTTCCTCTGGAGTTTCTCTATGGTCCCTCTGTGGT